CTCAAACGTTCATTCTTTTAAAAGTTATAATGTCCTACATAAAGTAGCTCTATTTTTTCTTGCTTTTTTCCCCCAACATAATTTAGACATTGAATTTGGACAAAATATTTCTTGAGCATACGCAACCGATACCACAGATTGTTAAACTGCAATTACAAAAAAAACGCTGGTCGACGTAAGGAGAACCAGCTGTTGCCCCGCCCCCACCCACGCCCCCCTGCTTCTCTCTCTCCGAGATGCTGATTAAAGGGAAGACAGGCATGCTTTTTCAAAATCTGTTATGCACAGACTTATCAATCATTTAAGGGCATTTTATATGACTTTGGGGATCTTGTACGTTATTCAGGTAGTCAGATGTACTTTAGTTCTCCCCTCCGGACAAATTTTTACACTTTAGGGTGTCACAACCCCTTATAAAGCGTTATTTTAGTGCGGGCGAAATTTTCTTATCTATAAAGCTACAAAAGTTAATATTTTCACAGAATAAACTCAGAATAGTTAGTTGCAAACTGTTAGAGGATTTTTTAAAATATCGTTTATAATAAGCGAGATATCCTGAATTTTAACACATGACTTGCTAAAACACCGAAATTTTCCTTAAAATCACTCCCTCTGAGGTATATAGAAGGTAGTAATATGAAAAATATTCCATAAATTAAAAAAAAGCCTCTAACAGGTTGCAACTACGCCAATTGCCCACACTGAGGCCAAATTTCAAGGGAATCCTATAAACAGCCTCCGAAATCTCGCTGCCCTAAAACCCCATACCCCTAAAAATATCGCGTTTTTAGAGAAAACACAACAAAAAAAACGCAACGCAAAAAAAAGGCGTTCACATTGTTGTTACTTTTTTACAACCGCAGACAGATCTATGCATTGTTCGTCTTTTTCAGTATCTACCACTGCACTATACCGATCACCCAGTTTGGAATAGAACTATGTAAAATGAAATAAGAATACAATTTGGAATGATGAGATAGTACAATGAAATAAGAATACAATTTGGAATGATGAGATAATACCATTTATTTCTGGAGAATAGCACAAGGAAAGGGGAACAAAGTTATCCCAAAGTTTGAAACAGGGCAATCATAGTCATACTTTATTCAGAATAGTAAAGCCAAAAGTGAAACACTTCTAAACACTGAAGTGCATTTCTGAACAGGTGGGATTTTCAGGATAAAATTTGTGTAAGTAGTTAGGTGTATTTTTTTCTTCCTCAAATATAATAATTACTTCATCTTGAACTTCCACACAAAAGTAACCGCTTTGACACTAGACAGTGGCATCACTGAAACCAAACAAGAAGCCTCACTTCTGTTAGCTGAGGCAGATGACTGGTAACATACCCGATAATGCCGACAGTTTAAACTTAAAATTCGATTCAGGTCCGATCACTTGTGCATAATTGGTATTGATTAGCAAAGCATTTTGCATTGCAAGCTGAAGACGCGAGTTCGATTCTGTATCAGAAAGATGATTTCATCGAGTATCTCCGCACTTGCTGTAACTTTTGGGACGAAAGAGCGTCTAAAGTCTCGACAACGGTGGTAAAAGTAGGATGTCCAGCAGGAGTGGGACTGTCAGAAAAGCATGGTCTATCATATTTATGGTAATAGTCTGTCAGTATGTTGCATTTTGGACGTTTACTCATTGTTGACACGGTGAGGAACACATATTATGTTGTGGAATAAAAACAGTACATTTTGCTAGTCAACAATAGTGCATTTAACGAGCTGTATTAAAATATATATAATTGCAAGAATGGAGAGGATTACGGATTGTGAACAAGAAAAAAAGAAACACTGAACTTTTAACTTTTCAACGAGTATCTCCGCAATTGCTGTAACTTTTGGGACGAAAGAACGTCCTAAAGTCTCGACAGCGGTGATAAAGTAGAATGCCCAATAGGAATGGGACTGCCAGACAAGCATGGTCACAATCATATTTTTGGTAATAGCAAGCTTTTTGTAAATAGTCTGTCAGTATGTTGCATTTTGGACGTTTGCTCATTGTTGACACGGTGAGGAACACATATTATGTTGTGGAATAAAAACAGTACCTTTTGCTAGTCAACAATAGTGCATATAACAAGCTGCATTAAATATATATATATAATAACAAGAATGGAGAGGATTACGGATTGTGAACAAGAAAAAGAGAAACAGTGAACCTCGCGTTGAATGCAGCGAATCTGTCAAGTCCAACGTCCAAGATTTTCGGCCCCTAAAGCATTTCAGACGCCTGTGCCAAGCTACCATGGCAAATCCTGGCTTATCATGGGATCCTTTTGACTTCTTGAATCAAAAGCTCTTTACATTTTATAGACTTTCCGAAGTTTTGGCCCACATTTACCACCACCTAAGTTTAGCATTCAACACTGGTGAACATGTCTACTATCAGCTCTACTTGGTTCCCGAACTTTATCAGATGGAAGTATGTAAAATCGTCCAGTAACACATACCGAGATAACACTAAATCTCTCTCTCTCTCTCTCTCTCTCTCTCTCTCTCTC